TTGCGGGGAGTACGGGCCAGTGCAGCGAACTTGAGAGTATCGCCAACCGTCAATTGAGGGAAATGCACATCGGTCTCGGCGGTATAAATAGCTTCACCACGGAACTGGTCGCGCATTTTCTTGTCGGAGATACCCTGGTAATTCATTTGGGTCTTTTCATCCTTGTGAATACCGTTCATCTCACCGGCCAAAGTCTTCAAGAAGGTCGAGCAACCGGAACCGGGACGACCCAGAACGACGAGCATCTCGCCACTCTTGACCAGACCATCGAAATCACGCAGAATTTGGATCTTCTGCTTGCCAGAGCCCATCATGGAACGGAACAAACCACCAATTTGGAGGACGGAGTTGAACACATCCTTTTGGTAATCTGTGGGACTGCCATAACCGTGAACACTAAGGTTGCGGAAAGAGATACCAGCCTGGCGCTGGGGATAACGTTCGGGGTCACGAGCGGTGATAGCGAGGAGGTTCTTCATCCAACTGCGAGCCTTGAAGTTAGGGCTGTGCGGGTTCAAGGCGGATTCCTCCTTGACATCGATGAAGGTGTTCTCGGCGTCAACAAAGCGAGTGGATTCACGGGTGAGCTGCTGAGCGAGGCGAGTGACCTCGGCCTCGACAATCTCTTCGTCACCGACCTCCTCGGACTTTTCCATGGCGGTATCTTCGGTGCTGAAGCTAGCAGCGGGATCGTGACGGTGGACCTCGCGCGAGATGGTCACGGATTCGTTGGTCGATTCCACGACATTGGGGTTAATCGTCCCCAGGAGCGACATTGTGGGCTGCTCCTCAATGGATGGATATTGATATGGAGATGGGGGAGGGGAGGTGTGGGGCCCAGATAGGAGTCAATTAGGAAATCACCATGCAGTGGAGATGGTGTGGTGCAGAGTATAGAGGTGAGGGGAGAAGAGAATGTTGTGGTAGTTGTATAATTAGGATATTAGGCGTATGAAGAAATAAAGAATGGAGTATTAAGATAGTAAAGGGAAAGGGGCGAAGGGGGCCAAAGACATGGAAACAATAAATAGAAGTAAGCTAAAGATGCGGAGAGCAAAAAAAAAAAGGTCGATGCAAAAAAAAATCGGGCCCGGGACTGATGCCAAGTTTGCCTCCGAAGGGAAGTCCAGACATCCGGCGATAAGGGTCCGGAGATGAGAGCGACCGCGTGTATTGGAGGCCTAACCGGTATTTATTGGAGCGAATCAGCATGGCGAGATCAAAAATAAATACGCGAGATGGTACCAAGATTGTTGATGGGAGAAAAAATCGGGCATCGCCTAGTGGTCGTGCTTTTACGGGATTAGGTTTAGTGTTGAAAACGGGGGACCCGATGGAAGGAGAATTAGGAGAGTTATGTACTGCATGTGGTGCATCGGAGTATATTCCAGGGACCTGATTGGACGGGAGTAAAGTGTAGTGCAGTACGGAGTATAGTGCACTGTATTGCAGAGTGTAATGCAGTACACAGCCGTATTTATGAAATGGAAAGGTGGAAGAACAAAAAAAGTGGACCGGGAAGCCGCGATCCGCCATCCGACATGCGTGATCCACGCGGCGGAGTCTGGGCACGACGTTCCCGGGTCGGGCTCGCTACCATCCGACTCCTGATTCCCTGACTCATGCGTGTTTCGTCCGTTCTCCCCCAGTTTCGTCCGTTTTCACAGCTGGTCCGTGGTACTCAGAATGACTTGGTTCGACTCATTATCAATCACCGGGGTATAGTGTATTCTGCACAACCCCATGCAGGTCAGATTCCGCCATCTTGGTGCCTAAAGCCATGCCTTTAGCCATGCTGGTCGTATCCTTGCTCTTAGTTAGAATTATTACGGAGTACAAAATACGGAGTACAGAGTAGGCCTATAGTAAACGATATACATATCTACCCCATCCTGGTTCGTACTCCGTACTCGTACATATTCGCGCTTTTCCCCCTGTGAAGGTCAGCTTTGGCCCAGCCACCGCAGGGTTCATTATCAGATCCCTCTAGCCGCTTTCGACTAGATCTGCGAACTGCCCAGGATGCCAGCACAGACATACTTGCGCATACGTACGTACATACCTGATGATGCAAATTTAAACTTCATACTCATCACTGGATAAATGTCATTCGGAGCTACGACATATCAACATACGGTATACAATGTTGATCCCTTGCACCGCGGGTACATCAAACTTTGGGTCACTTCATACAGGGTATCCCCAGCAATCAAATTCTATCATGACGAAACCTCCGTCCCTTCTTCTTTTACTTCCTCTTCTTCACCGTCTTCATCTTCCTCTTCTTCATCCTGAATCGGCTCCACTAAAAGATTGCCACCCCGCCCGATCTTCTCTCGGATGGCCCCGCCCTCCTGAACTGCATAAACTGCTCGGGGCATAGGGGACACTAATCGGAATCCGTACTCATGTGTGAATCCTTCGGGCTCCTTCACATCAGTGGGCCTTGACTCGTCCTGTAATACCTCGTAGCACTCCACCACAGCATAGAGCTCTTCAATATCGGCCTCAGGCGCAAATCGGCGCATAATCCGCTCCCCGGAGGGTAGTCGCACGCTCACGCGCACCGCTTCCTTCACATCAGTCCCAGGCTCGGTGCCAAGGGACTGTGCGCGCCATTGCTTCCACTGTTCTAAATCGCGCTGCTTCTTCTCTTCAGCCGCCTGTCGGTCAGCCGCCTCCTGCTCTTCACGCTCTCGTGCAGCCTCGGCCTCCCGACGCTGACGCGCCCGCTCGCGGTCAATTGCCAGTGATCGTTCGTAGGCAGAGTCCTGCTCTTCACGCAAGCTGCGAGACGCCTGCTGTTCAGCCCGGGTAGCGCGAATCCGCTCAAGCGGCTCCTGATTCGTGGAGGTGATAGTACGGAGTTTACTCGTGAACTCCGAGGGTGAAGTGGTTCCCGCGATGCGGCCGACCACGGACATCGCCGTCGACGACACATTGGGAGTGTGGACGACGACCGCGGCAAAGGGGAACTTGGTGCATTTCAGCGAATTGGCCACTTGATATGCCTCGGAGTCCTGGACGCTGCCGCCCCACACCAGAAGGTTGTTTTGCGGGTCGTTGATGAACTCCGCGACCTCGGGTGCTAGCAGCGTATCGCGTACCCAGCCGCTCGTGTCATCGTGTTCTGGTGCAAGAAGCACGATCAGAAGATACTTCAAGTCCCGGTGAGACTTTTCTAACGCCATGTTGTATCCATTTTCCAAGAATGGGATCGAGTGCGATCCGTACTCCTCGTCGAATTCACGGATGAACCGGGCGGCGGTGTCTTTGGGACCCAGGGGTCGACGACCGGTGGTATTTCTTCGTGCCGCCTGTAAGGCTGGATTGGCTGTGGTGTTGAATAGGCGTGGGAGGAAAGGAAATAATGTGCCAAAGAGACGGAACGAATTGTACAGGAGGCGGTACACGAGATTGAAGGGAGTAAACAGTAGAGCAAGGATGAATGGCGGGCGGAAAGCAGGTTGGCTTTCGGGTTGGGTATTGACACGGGGAGCTGGGTCTGCTGCTGAACGGGCAGCTGGCGCGAGTTGCTCAGTGAGGTCATCCGTCATTAAGTTCTGGGTTCGACGGGCTGGCCTTGGAGGGGGCGACTGGAGTGCCTCGCGAGCCTCTTCGACGGGGTCGGGGCCTTCTCCATCAAAGAATTTGGCGATCGCGATCTATATAGTTGGGGAGGAGATGGTCAGTGACAAGCTTCCACGTTGACGGCTTGCGAGTAAAGCTGGGGGCGGGGAGGATTCGCGAACCTGCACATTCCATTGTGATCGCCGGAGTAAGGCAATAGCCTCGGCAGGCTCTTGGCCTGTCACAGAAGAGTATGTTTCTAAAGCCGACCTCTCAGTAGAGGAGAGCCGGTCAAGGTCGAGGTCGAGCTCTTCGGACATGGTGGCTGATAGGTGGCAGCCATGTGTCGGGGCCGAGATGGCTTTGGGTAGAATATACACCGCCCGCCATACCGCCCAGTGCGGAGTTTAGTATGAATGCGGAGAAGGAGAGTGTGAACACGATGCTGCAGGAATTCACTAAACAGATGGGAATATTTATGGTCAGACTGTGGATTAGTATATACTATCTGGTATTCTAAGTATTCAAGTTCTGACTGATTTCAGTAATTACTAGTATCTAGGATCCTGAAGCACTAGTAGTAGATACTAGTATTTGTACGATATACTAGCCCTGGAGAGAGGGGGGTGATTGCATCATCAGGTACTTCCGTGGTCCAGGCAATCCAGGACAGATAAGCATCAAAATCGATTAAATCACCTGAAGGGGATAGTAGTAGTTGGGTGATCAAATTGCACTAGTAGCATATTGGACTGGCCAGTTTTAGAATCGCCACTGTCTAAAATGGGAATACTAGTACTAGATACACCGACCGTGGAACTTGAAGATATATGTCGATATAACCCAACAGTACCTACTAGTCCTATTCTGGTCCATGGGTTATCCGCTGCCATCCTCTCATCCTGTCATCATTCACACTAACATATGTATTTCTATATATCTACACATACCTCTCTCTTTCACCCTTTAACATATTATACCTACGATCTCTGACCCCTGCTCATCTCACATCCACCTCACTTCACCTCAACTCACCCCAAGCTGATTCGATAGCCCGCTGACCGCCTGGTCTGTGCACCTCCCCCTTCGCTCTCAACGCCCCGCGTCAACTTGGTCCTTCCTGGTCATCGGCTTTATCGCTTCCGATCTCGTCTTTGGAGGGCGGATCCGTATTGGGCCCCTTATTTTTAACCATCTGGTGCATCGCCTGCTCTCTTTCAAGTTCTCCGCGACCCTCCTCGTCTCTCCCCTCCCGCAATTGACCCGCTCACGACGATCCCCCAAACACGCGCCGGCCACGGAGACGCATCTGATATCAGGGAATGCGACTCCCTTCCAGTCGACCTCTTCACCTCGTTTCAGTCCCCGTTTCAATGGAGATCCAGCTGCGCTGATTCCCTATCGTTCCTCGGTCCTCCCAACAGTCCCTGATGGCATCCTCTGGCAAACCTCCTTTGGATGACACCCGTCGCACGACGGGATCGCCCAAGATGAAGACCCGAGGTGAGTTGAGATGAATGGCGGCCTCTCCTAAGGTAGCTAGCATTCGGTAGATCACGATGGAAATGTTGAGATGGATCCGCCGGACTAGCATGCCGACCGTAGGATGGATTGTGCTGACTCGATTTCGACCACAGAGAATGCGAAAGACACACTATGCCGCAATGTCACCATTTATGGCCGTTGTCGATATGAAGACAAAGGTGAGTGGATTGTTCCCTCCTCGCCCCACGATATACGCGGGTTGATGTTGACCGAAGTCTTTCTTCCCTATCTAGGCTGCGCTTTCAACCATGATCCCCAGAAAGTAAACTCGGCGTACCAATCAGATAGGTATGTTGAATCAATCCTCGGATCTTCTCGTTCTTGCGCAACTGGATGTTTGTATACTAATCCACCTCCTTTAGCAATAAGAAACGCTTCAATGTCGACTCACCTAGCTTCACCCCATCCCTCTTGTCCGGCAATGGCGTATCAGCCCCCAAGAAATCGAATCCCATCTCTCCCAAAGCTGCAAATGCCGCTCCCTTCCAACCAAGAACCGCCGCCTCACGTATGGCGTCCCCCGTGCCGGCCCCAAAGACCCCGCTGACTGGAAAAGGCTCGAATACGAGTACCCCGCGACAAGAAGTCGGGACCCCGGACTGGTCCATGGCGGAGGTGCAGGAATTTGTTCCGCAGGGCTTTGAAGGTGCTCACATGGTAAGTCTCAAGTCTCAAGTCTCGATTGCTCCTTCCCTGCTGTTCGTGGTTCGTGGTTGCTTTCTGCGGATCAAAACTCCCTGGACCCCGGGCTCTTTACACTTCAAGCTCCCCCTTGGTAAACCTCCAACCATCTCAACAATTACAACGGCGGTCCTTGAAAGGCTGCCGGAGATCACACGATGGTGATGCTATCTTACCATAATCGCTCTACTCGAAGCCTCAGTGCACTTGCCGATGATTTTGATCCGCTGGAGCGAAACCTCGATTCCCGCAGTTCAAGACGTTGTTCTGATCTAACCCCCATCTCTTTGCAGCCATCCATCCAAGGTAATGGAAATGGTGCCATCACCCCCTCAGGTGCCTTTGATCCATTTGTCACAGCTTCCGGTGCGTTGTCTGCTGGTGCGGTGGGCCCGGTCTCTACCAACCCATATTCGCACGACGCGGCGGCTACACTTGGCGGGGCCACTTTCTTTACCAACCAGACTGGTTTCCAGCAGCCGGTATGTTGAGCATAAAGAAACTCCATCTCCTAGTACATGACGTCTAACATGATTTATAGGTCCAATATCATCTATACGCTCCGATCGGTCCCCACAGCCAAAGTACGCTTGGCTATCAACGGAATGTCCACGACCTATTTCTCCCCAATGACTTCCGAGAAGAATTGCAGAAGAAAGCTGCAGCTACCTTGCAGACTCTACCTAGTAAGTTGACTTTCGAAAAACACAACAAGCCGGACCAAGCTGACCTTTCTAGACACTCAGTTACCGGCACAGGTCGACTATTTCCACTCTTTGGTTCCCCTGGATTTAAGCCACCAGAAGAATGCCGCCACTTTCGGCTATCCAAGCTGGGTGTACAAGGCACAGTCAAGCAAAGACGGAAATTTCTATGCCTTGCGCAGACTAGAAGGTAAGGGATCCTTGAAACTAACCGCATTTTTGACGACTGCTGATCAATCAAGGGTTTCGCTTAACCAACGAGAAGGCCATCCGATCCGTTCAAGCCTGGAAACGAGTGTGCAGTGGAAGCGTTGTCACCGTCCACGATGCGTTTACCAGCCGAAGTTTCCAGGATAGCTCACTGATCTTCGTCACTGATTACCATCCTTTATCTAAGACCCTAGCCGAGCAACATCTGGGCGCTGGAAACCGTTTCCAGAACCGCCACAACCCACATATTACCGAGCAGATTCTGTGGGGATACATGACTCAAATCGCAAATGCATTGAAAGCGATCCACTCCAACGGTATCGCTGCAAGGGTTCTTGAGCCGAGCAAAGTTCTACTTACCGGCAAGAACCGTATCCGTTTGAATGCTTGTGCAATCCTGGACGTGGTTCAATTTGATACCCAGAGGACCGTGGCCGACCTACAGCGGCAAGACTTGGTTAACTTTGGACAAATGATGGTTACTCTGGGTGCTAACTCGCCCAATGTCATGCACAACCCTGCCAAGGCAATGGAACACTTCACCCGCGCATATAGCCCGCAAATGAAGAACTCCGTTTTCTGGCTGCTGAACTCTCTGCAGATAGACCAGGAGCGGAACATCGACCTATTCATCACCGGAATTTCGTCCCAGCTGATGTCGACATTTGACTCGGCCCTCCATCTTGATGACCAGCTCACGACTGATCTCGGCCGCGAGCTTGAAAATGGACGGCTCGTGCGTTTGATGACGAAATTGAACCTCGTCAATGAACGACCTGAATATGAACATGACAGACAGTGGTCGGAAAGTGGGGAGCGTTATTTCTTGAAGATTTTCCGTGACTACGTCTTCCACCAAGTGGACGCGCAAGGCGATCCAGTGGTCGACCTTGGACATGTGTTGACTTGTTTGAACAAGCTGGATGCAGGGTCCGATGAAAAGGTCACATTGGTTAGTCGCGATGAACAAAGCTGTTTCATCGTGAGTTATAAAGAGATCAAGAAGGCCCTGGAGTCCTCATTCCAGGCATTGATGAAGCCCGCGAGAAGAATGCACTAAGCGATAGTTTGCCTTCTTTCAGCCTGCTTCGGACATGCAATTATGATTATTATGGTTCTTTTGGTTGGTATTGACGTTACCAAACCCATCCCTTCTATGAACAGCTCGAGTCTGAACGGACCAGAAGGAATGGCCTCTTTTTGATTGATCAACATGGTACTTTGGAAACTTGCGCATGGTCTCGCTCCATCAGGTTTTGCTTGAAAACGATGGCAGCCGACCGCGCAGCCAGCATATCTTATGGAAATACAGACAGATAAAGAATGAAGAAACATCAATCTCATCCTGGTGCAAACTGATAGATGATAGACTGATAGAGCCCCCCACACCACCCAGAACGAACCACCTGGCAACGGAATTACTTATCGCTACCTGCTAAATTATCACAGTTCCTCCCGTGGCATTCCCTTGCACTCGTTGAGACTTTCCCGCAACATCGACATCGCAATCACTCCTTCATTGCCTTTCCCTTTGATTTTCCGAGACGGCATCAGCACCTGATCCACAATATGCACGACACCATCTCGCGCCAAAACATCATGAACCCTGACCCGGCCAACCCCGTTCACCCGCATGATAACCGAGTATCCAGGCCAGACAACATCAACCCTCAAGTTCTGCTTCTTCAAAAGAGTAGGCAGCTTAACATGTACCGCGGAATCCTGCTCCCCAGATCTAAACTTATGCACATGTCCATGCTGATCATACAGCACGTCCGAGTACAAGGTGCGGTTCGGGACAAAATGGTACTCTAGCAAGGCCTGCAAGCATTTTTCGCCACCAGAAGAGAAGAGATACTCATTTGCACGTTGTCCCAAATGGCCAAAGGCTGCGTTTGTCGGGGCGAATGTTGTACCGCCAGCTCTGATCTCGTCGGTTAGCTTGTGGATCAGACCAGTCTTTTCAAGGCCGAGAGTGAAAGCGCTGAAGTGCCTCGGCAGGAGTTTGATAATTGTGCTAGTATTTGGAGGTGGAATGAGTGGTGTGTTAATTTGATGAAGAATGCCGTTGCTTCCAACCTGATACCTTGTCAGTGGCCTGCTCATGACTAACGCACTTTTGAGGGTTAGGACTTACTATGTTACCCGCTATAATTTCACTGACCCCATTGAGCAACACTCGACGTTCGTGTTTGTTCACCACCAGTCGCTGCGGCATATCCTTGCCCAACTTCGACTGATTCAGCAGAGTGGGCAGTGTTTGCTGATACCTCACATCATGGAGATCAAGTTGTCGTGGCAAGATGTGATATTGCAGGAAATCCTTCGTGTATGAAGGCTGATGTTCATGGTGCAGGAACCACTCCAAAGCCTTGTTTGTCGGGGCCAAGAGAGTATAGTTGTTTCCACTGCTGTTCAGTAGGGTGACCATGTCGTCGTGGCCCTTGATGAGCTGTGCAAGCTGCGAGGTTTCCTTGCTCTCGTTGATCAGCTCCCAGATCGTGTGGTTCTCCGTGCAGAATCTCGGTGAAAGATTGAATAGGTGACAGGGACCACGTCGTCCACGACATCCTCTGTCGTCTGGCCATCTTCCATATCCTGGTCTGCCACGACCATTGCCGTATCCAGGGCCTTTCCCACCCCCCTCCACCTCCACCGGGATATCCTCCACCCCCAGAACCTCCTCCCCCACCACCAGGGCAACCACCACCTCCCCCAGGATTTCCGCCACCAGGGTTACCACCACCACCTCCTCCACCACTGCCAGGGCTACCTCCTCCACCACTACCACCACCGCCTCCTCCGCCAGGGCCACCACCACCAGGGCCACCATCACCAGGACCACCACCGCCAGGCCAACCACCACCGCCCCCAGGACCATCACCGTAGCCAGGACCGCAGCCAGGATCCCTACATCCATTTCCTGGATCATCGCCGTATCCTGGTCTGTCCCCATAGCCAGGTCCTTCACCATAGCCAGGGCCATCACCGTATCCTGGCCTGTCCCCATACCCTGGACCACATTCATGTTTGCCATGATGGGGATGATGGGGGTGGTGACGATGATGGGGATGGTGAGGCCGGCGTTGACGCTCTATCGAGATAATCTTCACGATCACGATCAAAATCGTCATAATCCTCATTTTCACCACTGGGAGCTTCAAAACTTCCATCCAAGCTGACATCAAGCCCCAGGACACTCAAGGCAAACTTCGCGGCCGATTGCTGACCGCTTTGCGATAATTCAGCCATCTTTGACCACCAGGAATCAACTTGTGTTTCTTCATCTCGACTGGACTGATCACTGCGAAGTACTCCAGAAAGTTCGGCTAGAACTTCTTGTTCAGGAATAATCAGGGCAGCACATAGCGATGCTGCCACAGGTAAAAGGATAAGCCGCATGATGACTTATCGTTTTGAAATAACCATTGGAAGTAAACCTAAATTTCTTTTCCAAAAAGAGCAGGCCGAAACCACGAGAAATAGGATGGCGTCCCCGGATTCTATAGAGTCCGGAAATGAGCTCCACTTTCCCCATGTTTCAAACAAGGTTGCACTAAATCCTGTCCAACGGTCGCGGAAAGCTAATAATTCACCCTAAATGGCCAATGCTTAGACCCTGAGGATGTATTTCGGACCAGGCTGGCGCTTGTGTATAGTTTCACGGAGCACGACTTTTGATATACGAGAGGCAATCACGATACATGCTCCTATAAGTGCCAGTGGGGGACTTATATTCCGAGGAGAGTGACGTAATTGGGGGACACGGAATGAGAGGGAATCATCGGATCAGTCTTGTGATGCGAATACTTTGCGTGGTTTATATGCAGTACTCTATGATGAACGAATTAGGAACATCGAAGGCCAAATTACCTCTGATGGGAAACTAGTAGCTACCTGGGATAGAATAGATAGGCCAATCTATTTCATCTCAGGTAGCTACTAGTTTCCCAAATCATGTTGGGCAATATGGGGTTTCAAACTTTTGCAACGCCACTGTAACTAGTGTGTACTAGTATGCAGGCTGTTTGAACGAAAAGAGAGAAATCATATTCATGTCATTCATGTTCATTTCCTGGCTGGTTAATCCAATTCATAATTAAGTCCTTTTCTTTGTTCGTGGATATGTAGCTTTTCCCCGTTGAATATCTTTACATTTAGTCCAGATCGGGAATTGGCAGACCATTAACGATCTTGACCTTCCGGCCGAGCTTATCCAGCGCCACCTTGGAATTGTGCGCGCGCAATTCACTCGTCTCGGCATCGGAGACAAGAATAAAGTCGTATGTCAACAGGGCCTGGCCCTCGGGAACGCCGTATTTCTTCGCAAACTCAGGGCCAACCTTGCCAATGTCAACGGTTAGAGAATCCTTCACGCCGAATACAGCGTCAGAGGTCTCATAAGGGTCATTGCGGAGATAAAGAGCACTATATCATTGGTTAGCCAAATTCCCCGAGTATAATGCAAGAAGACTCGGAGGTCGAGACGACATACGTAATCAAATGGTCGTAACCCTCCTTCTCAAACATGAAGTGCATATGCGAAGGGCGATACGGGTGACGATGCAACTTCTTCAACAACTTCCCGACAGGCCCATCATGCGGAATAGGGTAAGGCACCGGCGTAATAGCTTTAAACCAGAACAAACCATCCTTATCCGAGCGCATGACGCACCTCCCATCCGGCTCCTCACGCCCAGCATACTGCACATCATAGTGCCCCGACGAATCCGTCTCCCAAATATCAATCTTGACGCCCTCAATAGGCCGGCCCTCCGTATTGCGCAGCGTACAAACAACCAGTAGCGGCTCACCCTTCGGATCGTGCGACATGGAGTCGCCGGAGGGCATTTCCTCCGCATCGTGCGTGTGGAAGGGTCCTAGCACGGTACCCTCGGTTGAACCTGGGGGTTTGGGGTGGTCAATGCTGTCAACGAGGAGGGAGAGGCCTAGCACGTCGGACAACAGGATGAATTCTTGTCGGACGTCGGTGCAGATCTGGCCTACCTCTGTCAGGAAGCGGAGGCCGGTCATCCATTCGTCGCTGCTGAGTCGGGTTTCGCGGGCGAAGTCGTGCAGGTGTGTGACCAGGCGTTCTAGGACGTATTTCATGCGCGGATCTTCGCAGAGCGAGTTGATTGTGATTACATTCTCGGTGATGTTGTCTGCTGTTAGGTCTTTCATTGGTGGGATCTTGACGAGGGAGGGGTCCATGGCCGCGGTTTTGGTTGCGATTGAGATGGGGGATTGTGTGGGGGAGGTGTATTGTTCAGATCAGAGCAGAAATGTGAAGATGGGCCCTCAGAGGAGCTGTCTGGTCTTTTTTTAACATTCCCAGCAGCTCCGGGACTTGCGTATGCCCGGCATTGCCGATGGGTGGTGGGTGGTGGGGTGAGTCCATGATGGAGCTCCCACTGGATCCAAATTTAAGGCGGGACCCCGCAGTTCCCCCCCCGCCCACTCAGCGCGGCGGAATTACTACGTTGCTACTACTAACTAGTAGTTACTAGTAGCTCAAGTACGAGTATACGAGTACTCTCTACACTTACACTTGCACTCCGAAATGTCCTATTCTTCATGGTCACACTGCCCATAGCTGATAGTATTTGATCGGATATACTACTCGTATACTACATACAATGCATGGATGAGAATATAACCGCTTCCCCCGCGACCCACCCGGAATCAATTCCTTACATTGGTCAGCATCTTATAAGCATTGGCCGGTGGGGTGCCGGTTGATGTATATCCGATGGGATTTCAAAGTTATATCCGAGCCAAATCTGGAGTAATTCGTAAACTGGGGTATGGAGTGGAATGGAAGCGCCAGTTTCATTTGCAAAAGGACATCAAATCATGGATATAATATGTACGCTCAAACAAGACCCTCCAACCGACCCTTTCGCCAATCGCTCGCAGCTGTACAGCTTGTAATAAGAAAACGAGAAAAAAAGAAAGAAAAAAAGCCCTCCAAATATGTACACTTCAAGAAAGTAAACCTCTGGAGTCAATCTAGTCAGACCATTCTAGGTCTGCAACATCCATCGCTCCCGCTCCCGCTCCCGTTCACGATCACGATCGCGGTCGTGCTCTCGGCTTCGATCCGCATCGCGATCATGACGGGTGAAGCTCGGATTCTCCGCCGGGCGCTCGGCAGTCCGTTCAACACGCTCAACACGTTCGATACGCTCACTAACCGGCTCACCTCCTCGTTCCGTCCCCGCACCACGCTCCTTCTCCTGAACGGCGGCTGCAACCCGAGCATGATGATCAACCGTGTCAAGGATAGCCTGCATCAGTCGTTGATTGGCATCTGGGTCTTCATCGTCGGCATGTCGGGAGTTGTTAGCCTGCTGCTGAGTACGGCCACTGTTCTCGGTCTCGCTAACAGCTCTGCGAGGGGATTTGTCGGAGGGGGGGTAATCCCATTGATGCCCCTGAGCCGGGTCCAATATGAGGAGCCCCTGGCGCAGACTCGCGGCGGCTATGAGAATAGCTCTGACTAGCGGGGGACTCGGTGTGGCGCTCGTGTTCACGCTCGGCAGAGACCGGGTATTTCGGGGGAGATGTCAGGCCGTGAGGAGGCATGGATGACAAACGACCTTCCTCAATTTCTTCATGGGGCTCGCGAGGTTCGCGGGGCGTGGTTAAAGTCCAGTTGGCGGCTCGTATTTCGCCCTCTTGAACATCCCTCCATGAACACTTGGCATGTTTCTTGGTACAGCCCACGCAGGCAGTCAAATTCTTCAAGCAGTCCATATGAAGCCGGCGGCATCGATCACAGGGTGGCGAGACTCGCTCTCCACGCTGCAGCTCCTCCATACGAGCTACCATTTCCAGTTTGTATGGACCTCCGTCGTCTTTCTCTTGAGGTGTCGTCTTGGGTGGCGGAAGCAATGAAGATGGAGTGCTTGGAATGGCTACCGGAGTAGTGGAAGCATTATTGTACAAACTGTAATCGGCCGGGTCTGATTGTGCTTGCGGTCGAGGCGTCTGAGAATTGACTGGAGTGGAGGCATCGTCGAAGCCGCGAGCCTGTCGGTCTGCCGTGGTGAAGAATTTCTTCATCAGTTCAGTTCGCGTGGTAGGTGATGCGCCTTTGATCGAAGTGCCATTGATGATTGTTACGTTGTCGGTTGTTCCATGGGAAAAGATAAACTGGGAAGGGGAAGGGTGGTCCTCAGCCGGTTCGGCTTCGTGACGGGTCGTATTGACGGCTACGAAGCCGGACGGCGAGACGTGAGGTTTGCCATTAGTTGAGTTGTGGCCGTTGGAGTCGCGCCAAGTCTCGGCGGGCACGCGGGGTTGGGGTTGGGATTGGGATTGCGACTGCGATTGCAGCGACGCATCGTTTTTCCGACGACTCATTATGGCGGTGCGGCGATTCTTCAAACGGTAGCTAAGCTGACGGGCTCGAGCCGACACTGCGCTCAAGTTAGAATCCCTGCATAAAATGAGAACTGTAGACGGACTTGCATACCTTGATCAGCGGCCTGAATAATAGACTGCAAGTTCTTTTCCAGAATCTCCAGCGCACCCAGCTCCTTCTCTTCATCCTCGATGATAGGCTGTGGGGGTATCATCTTCTGGGGCATACCCGAGGCAACCAGCACATAGTCCTCCTCGCTGATCTCCACACGACACTGTTTTGTATGGAATTGGCAGACACGCACGCCATTGCGGTTTTCCAGGAGAAATTGTTCAGGCTTGTCCTTGGCGAACTCGACGACATCCAACCAAGTCACTGTAGGGCTATCTTTACCACCATGCGACTTGCTAACGCGCGGAGGACCATCGAACAAGCGCTCAAAACGCTTGATCAGGATCGGGCCCAGCGGACATGCGCCGAGGTTGCCCGCGATACTCTCGTGTCGGTGCAAGACGCCGTCATACTCGCTGAGTAGATGGACAATGGCGGGCATGTTGTCATCGACGGAGACGAGAGGGAGGTTATCGGGATATTGGCGCGCAAGATAATTGATCTGCAAGTGGTTCGCCTGAGTCTTTTGGATCTTGGATTGTTGCGACTGGTCGGCGGTCGGAGACCGCGGCCGTTTATTAGACGACTCGGAAGGGGGTCGGGGCTCCATTGTGGGAGATTGGGGGTTGAGAGAGTAGAGGCTACGCCTATGCTGGTGGTGTGGTATGGTGTGGTAGGTGGGCTTTGGAATCGAATGGCCGAGAGTAGCAACTGCGCGGGACGGCAAAGACCGCTAGAAAGGCGAAAGAGGGCGACGGGCCATAAAGATTGGGGTGACAGATGTCAGGAGAGGAGAGGAAGTGGAAAACGTGATTAGGTTGGGGGCAAAAGCGAGACAGTAGGAGGGCAGAGGCAGAGGTGACCGAGGTGTGGGCACTAGGTAGGGCGGAAGACACTGGGACTGGCGGAACTCCGCTACTCCGCTGGGAGGGATCATTTACCTTGGGTACGGATACTGTGACCTGTCTAGGCTACTCTTTTTTCGGTTCTCTTTTGTTCCCACTCGATCCCAAGGCTAAAGTCAAACTAAGATCGGAATAGGGTATGACGCGTCCCTATCTTCCAACAGGCTGAATTAGCTCAGAAACAAGCCTCACCAGTGGGGATTGGACATGACCCTTTTTTTGGCGGGTGCCTGAAGTGCTGAAGTACTTTGGTACTCTGTATGTATGAGTATTGTACGGAGTATTTTATACTACCAGTAGTACTCCCGCTCTCCGCCGGGCGGACCTCTTCCCTCCACTCTTCCACCTCTTCCACCTCTCCCACTCTTCCACCCGGTCTGTTCCACTCTGCTGCTCCTCACCGCCCGAAAATCCCTCATACGCGTCCCCCTTCAATCTGCCGTGCGCCTTGAGAGTCTAGGGTTACTGCTTGTTGCTTGCATTTGTGAATTGCCTATCTCTCGTCATCCCCACCCATCTGGGTTTAACCTCCTTTCTCCTCCCCCCCCTTTTTTTTCCCGCTTATTCACATTCCCCCCAAATGTCCGAGCGAGGTTCATTCCGAGGTGGCCGCGGCGGTGGCCGTGGTGGTCGACCCCAGCAGAAAAGTGGCGGTGGTGGCGGTGCCCAAGAAAAGCCCAAGAAGGAAAACATCCTCGACCTGGGCAAGTATATGGACAAGGAGGTGCAGGTCAAGTTCAATGGCGGCCGTGAGGGTGAGTAATTCAATCTTTATCTTTTTTATCTCATTTTGTTTGCCTTTTTTTTCAATTATCATATCTTGAATTCATCTAAACTGTTGATATCATATATACTAACTGCGCCCCACAGTCACCGGAACCCTCAAGGGCTACGACCAGTTGATGAACCTTGTCCTCGACGATGTCAAGGAATCCATGCGCGGTACTTCCTCCCCCTTTGAACCTCTCATTCTGTCCACTGCTAACTCTCCCTAGATGATGAGGGTAACCAGACTACCCGCTCACTGGGCCTCATCGTTGCCCGTGGCACGCTCATCGTTTTGATCTCCCCCGCCGATGGAAGCGAGGAGATCCCCAACCCATTCGTGCAGCCTGAAGAGTAATTCTCTCTCTCTCCTCTTTAAGCTGTTTCAGCCCGGCTCTTCTGCCTTCTCTTCTCTGAATTATCTCGCGGGTCGTCTGCTTGCCAAAGGGGAGAAGAAGTGCGAATCGCCCCAGCGGAGTTTTCGGCCCCGCCCCAGAGGCCACAGCCAGTTCTGATAAACCCGGTTTTCTATTTTTCGACACTGACCGGCGATGCTCCTACTCCTTGGGGGCTACGAAGGGAATGAATGCTATGCGATGCCTCTGTTTTTTGCTCTCTTTTTCTTTTCATATTATTTTCTCTCCCAGCCTGACACATTGCGTCAGGCGGCAGATGGGTTTATTCTGCCACCCCCCAATAGGATGATCATTGTTTCTCGTCAAAACAATATGACAACCCTCGCTAAAGTGATAGACAAGATCTGCAGTTCCCAATTATATGACGTGGAAATGCTGCTACGAGAAGATCAGAGGGCAAATATACTCAAATAAAAAAATGCAGACAAGAACCAAAAAAGGGCCCAAGTGCATATCGTGAATTTGTAGAGAGGTATCATAGAAGATCCAACGCCGCCACGCGAATACGAAAAATACAAAACAAAAACCTGTACAGAAGCCAACCCCTTAATCTCGTACGATCGCCTGGTCGATTTCCCCAGACGCGAGCGGACCCACTACTTCACCAAAGTCACCATCATCACCGGCGGTTGCATCATCAGGCTGTGTTTGGGGTCCACGGTCCTTGATACGCCGGAGTCCATCTCCATCTTCGATCCACGCCCCGGCCTTCTCCATACTATCCGTATATTCGACGCCAGTCCGCAGATTGAGTCCGGCACTGAGTGCGCGCTCAATGCGAACCTCTCGGGTCTCGGAGACGAGCGTGCGGAAGACGTGAACGAAGAAGCCACCCAGGATATCCACACTCCAGTCCTCGGGGACGAGCTCTAGGACTTCGCGAACGTCGAACCAGCCGGCGAAGCGGGCGAGGAGATCGCTCGTTCGTTCGATACGGTCTGTCAGGTCTTGGATTTGAAGGAACTCGTCGAGGAGGTGACGGAATAAGGTCGATTGTTGCGCATGGTCTGCAAGTTCGGGCTGGGCGCCGCTGGACGATGTGGAGCTTCGAGGACCGCCGAAAAGACAGTATCGGACTGCAGAGTCGTAGTCGCCTAGCCCGTGGGTGAGTAGCCGCAGGGCCGCGCGATGGTGGCCCTGTAAGCCATCCAGAATGATGCTTTCTGAGACCAGCTCATTTTGGAAGGGCTCGATGCGTTCCAGGACGGCGGGAATTGAGTAAGTAATTCCGGATGGAAGGGCAGTAGATGAAAACTGTGTTCCCGAGCTGCCGCTTAGTATTTGTAACAGACGCAGTCGGGACTGCCACCACGGCTCTTTGGGGGTGTTCGCCGTGATGAAGTTCAGATAAGTGGGCTTAGGAGGACGTAGTGCTCGATACGTGGAGTAGGAGTCAGAGAGAGAGGCTCGCGCAGCAGGGTCAGACTCCAGGACCGAGAGCACCTCGTCGAGATAATACGAGATGAGGTCATTGGCGTATTGGGTTTGCTGTTGTTCTGGGTCAGTTGAATACAGTGATAGAAGTGTTCGCGGGGCAACTCACGTGTTTGGTAAAGACGAGATATTCCAGATAGAATTGAACAGCGTTGGGAGCCCGTTCCTTGAGTAGCGCAATCACGTCGGTTGGTTCGAGCTGCGCCCGGCTGGAGTTGTCTGCAAAGACCTGAATGCCCAGACTGGGGTTCCGTCCTGCAAGCCAGGATCCATACTCCTCCACCAGCTGTACGTCTTTGATTTTCACCAAGTATTTCCGCATCTGTTTCTCACTACTAGCGGCAGTGAGTTCGCCACCAGCGTCCGTTTCGCCGTCGATGATTCTGCGCCATGTCTTGAGAACATTGCGGGATTTCTTTTGGCTTTGGTATAAACGACTCAGTATATAAAGTCGCTGGTACTGCTCTAGAAGCGCCACTGCCCGATCAAAGTTGCCCTTCCAGCCGTCGACCAGTTTGTTTAGTTCCGAACGGATTCGGGAGGATGCTCGTTGATCTGTATCAAAATGTGCATCTTGCTCGAGAAGCAGGTGCAAGAGGGCAGCATCTGTGCTATCGAGAACGTAAGTTTCGTCTGTAATACTACCATAACCTCTCTTCTGTTGCCACGAGAACAGAAACCGCTTGACCATATTCAAAGCGGAACTGTGCACGGCTGCGGGACCAAGTGATTGGTCGCTGGTATTTGCAACCTGCTCCAAATATTGTTCTGTGACTGTTGCGAGGCCAGAGTGGATCCAAATACCCTGCGGGCCTTGAAGAACTTCACACCTCAGAAGTGGAATAAACAGCAATGCTAGACGCGGGTCCAGGTTGCCAGCCAAAATTGCGTGTTCGGTGTTCTGTATCACTGCATCTCCGCGGTGATTAGGGTGCATGGAAAGAAGATCCCCGTATAGCATCAAGCTGGCTTTCTGTTTAACATACCCCAGACCAATGAACTCGGACTCATTTTTGGGCTCTGCGTCTTGTATAGAGAATATTAAATCAATAACAGCACCCCTTTGCAAGAGTGTGTGCCCACTAGCATCGGTTTGCTGCGCCTCCTGCAAAATATCCTCAAGCTGAATAACCAAAGGGTTCTTAATGAGTCGCCAGATTTGAGAACCAGACCATAAAATCAGACTGCTTTGAAGCTTTCCAAGCCGATGGGCGAATTTTGCCTCATCTTCATTTCGTTGAGTCTCCCAGTCCCGGGTTGCCCCGGTTTCCCCCTTTTTAGAAGCATCCGAATCTGTCATTTCTTGTGATTCAAAAAGCTCTTTCTCCCTTTGTAGCTGTTCAATTGAGGCCTGTGTTCTGGAGTCTGCCATGGACACATGTGGGGGTAGCGCAGGGTTCTTAAATCGGCTCATGCGTAGGAGTTTCCCGACCTCATCTAGATCTAAGCGGCTGGCACTGAGAGTGTGTTGAAATCCGACAGGAGATGATTCGGTCTCTGTAGACGAAGGAATCTCCATCCACCTCTTTTGCCGTTCAAGCTCCACGGGATCATCGTCCCAGCGCTGGATTTCTAACTGGGTACGGTTCCCTCCGTCGTCCTTGATATTAATGAGAGCAAGAACAAATTCTTCTCTGGCATCTTCACTTGGCTGAAGAGCTTGATCATCCTCGCCAGCATCGATGACAACAGACTTCGGATACCGGTGGAAGTTAATGGTACCTCGCACAACTTCGCCATCCATGTCAACAAATATACCCACCCCCGGCTCGGATTCTTCGGTTCCAGTCACGAGAAGGAACTCAGAAGGGGTCGGCGACACTACATGAGGCTGGAGTTGTTTTGAGACAGGCTGTTTTGGAAGAGGCGGCAGTGGCTTCACACTATCCGGAGATGTTGATTGCTGATCGCTCCCTGAGTTTTCTGGGTCGGTTTGCTTGGGGCCTTCCTCCTGACGTTCCTCGGAGCTCGACCGTCGCGGTGTCCCCGTAGATGTGAATGGGTCTGGTGTTCCAGAAGGCGATCTCTCATGACGGGGAGTCTGTGCATGCGGTTGCAGCATTCCCACAAATGTATTCAGACTGCTGCTCCTTCCATGTGATTGTGAGTCTGCGGGGGGGTGAGTTGGGGTAGGATGAGGAAGGCGATCGTTTCAAAGGAGTTGGTGCCTGCTGAATCTCCTCCACTCGCCCAGACTCAAAGACTTCATTTGAAGAAGAGATTGGAAAGAGAGGAATCTTCTGCTGGTACTCTACCTCAAGAAGGGAATATGAGTGGGGATCAGCTGCGCAGGCAATTGTACCTCTGCGTGCAGCTACGAGGCAACCAGGGAATTTGATGCTTTTGATGCGCCGCGCCTCATCCCCGATCTGAACCAGCATGATCCGATCTTGTACCGCAATCATAATAACGGGGTTATCCTCTGAATCCTCATCTTTGTTTAGGTCTAGCCCACCAATCCAGCTGCAATGATGGACCTTGGTGTTCCCGAACGCCGGGCTGAGCTCGGGTAACATGTAGAATGTGACCGATCCATTGCAGAGAACACAGGCTTTGTTGACCGAGGAGAGTATAAGGATTTGTCTGACACCTTGTTGATCTGGGTCGGAGGGAATAGTTTGGAATGGTATAGGCAACCTCGAAGCCAAGATGAATGTAGGTTCGTTGGAATCGTCGGAAGCTGGTGGAAGGCTAACAAAATGCAATATTTCTGCCGCGGAGGTTCCGATGTACAAGTTTTCATCTGTAGTTATTAAATTAGCCCACGGGTTCTTGCAATGAGATCGGAATAGACTCGCAGCCATAGCTTACCCCAATACTCGACGCAAGTGATGTAAACGTCGGAGCTGCCCTCAGTCGCCAGAGGCACATTATCGAAGAGAGACCGTAAGACATAAGGCCGAGTCCCCGAGGGACCGACCCTGCGCCTCTTGCGAGGACCAAGTCCGTCATCAGAAGCCATGATGGCTAGCTAGGCTTGGAGTTCTCCCCGCAAGTGTCAATGGAGGCTGGGCCCATGATAGCTGAAGGCGGTCAGCCCGATGGGGGCCAAAGCTTCAGGGGCAGCCTCGGAACAAACACAAACGGGCTGTCAGAACACCCTGGCCTGAAAGGCAACAAAGGTACCAATAATCTACAGTACATCAACTGTTATTTGATGGTCATTCAATTTGGATTTCTACTAGTAAGAGCTGTGATTATTTAGTGGAATTGTTTTTATTTGATTTGATTTTTACTTTGAATACTCTGCTTGATCTCGAGCCTCATACTCACGGAAGAATACTCGGCCCGCACGCCGCGTGTCCAGATCGGCCTCCGCCTGGAAAGGAAGCATCCTCTAGTTGCGATCAGGTGTGGGGTGAACCGCGCTGACTTGTGAGTTGACGGACTATGGACTCCTTCGCCATCACAGAGGGTCTTGCAGCCCAGGACCAAAACCAGCCGGAACCAGTCAACAGCAAACTCTCCGAGGAGACGAACAAGTTCCAACGCGCCATTGCAGCATGGCGAGGTAAAGTCACCCTCAGACCCCCGAATATGCTCTGCAACTTCCTCAATAAGGCCACCGCTGACTGGCCATATTTAGGAATTGACCTGGCTAGTACGATCGCGAAACTTGATTCCACCGCCTCGGATATCGTCGAGCACCAGCGGGATGCTCTCGTACAGAGAAAGGACCTGGCTCAGAAGACCAAGGACTTTAAGAAACTGGACGATGAAGCAAAAATCGCAGAGCACAAGTCACTATTGAAAGCCTATCAATCATTTATCGATCTCCTGACCAACCAGGGCAAAACGTCTTCCTCCTCGTTCCTCCAACTATACTCATCCTTATCGGAGGCCCCGGATCCGTACCCACTCCTCGAAGCCTCCGTTGATTCCCTGGTCTTGTCGGAAGACACCGTGCCCAAGCTGACCTCGGAGCGCGATCAATTGCAATCTTCGGTTGAACGTCTCACGAGGCAGCAGGAGGAGACCGAGAAACGTCTCCAGGAAGAGCGCGCCGCCAGAAAGAAGCTCGAGGAGAACCAAGAGGCAAGAGCGAAGGAGATTGAATCTTCCTGGGAAGCTGTCTTAGAAGAAAAGACAAACAATTGGGCCGCAAAGGAGAAAAGCTTGGAAGAAAAGGTGGACAACCAAGACCGATTGATCAAGGAGCTCAAAGCAAGCTACGAAGTTTCTCAACGTCTGGGTGGCAATGAGGAAAGTGAGGAGGCTCGAAGCGGTGCTACTGCCGCGGAGCTAGAACTTATTTCTTCTGATCTGGAGAAAACAAGCTTGCGTTTAGCCGACGTGGAGGCTCGGAATGAGCAATTGCGACTGGAGCTAGCCCAATCTGTATCACACTCGAATCCCGACCAGGCGACTTTGCAAGACGATCCCGAATACCAGCGCCTGCAGTCAGAGAACTCCTCTTTACTTCGCAAATTGGATGCCGCACGCTATGATAAAGACTCGACACGGCACTCGTGGGAGGCCAAGGTTCTCCAAGCTGAGAGAAATGCCACGAAATCTACTACCGAGAGAGATGAGCTGCGCTCACGCCTCGAGAGGGTTGCAGATTACGATGATATTCGTCGCGAGCTGGAGATGATCAAATCAATAGAGTTTACGGCCGGTGAGGATGAGGAGACTGGTGACGTGCCCACGGAGGGCGTTGAAAGCGCCAACGGTAACGCTGCGAGGTCGAAAGAGAAGAATTCGTTGGAGCAGCTCTTGCTTGCCCGTAACAAGAAGTTGACTGATGACCTGGCGGTACTACGTGTGTCGAGTCGTGACTTGCAAGGCCAACTGGAGTCCCTCCGCGGCGAGCTTTCGACCACGAAAGCAGAACTGGAGAAGTCCCGGGGTCTGTCTAGTACACTGGAGAACGATCTTCTTCAAGTGCAGCAGGAGGCAGCCAACACCTTCCCTTCTGGCGCAATGTCCGTTGCCGGTACCTATGCTTCCAGATACCCGCACTCCTCTAGACGTGGTGCTACCTCTCCCACTTCGTCTATTATTTCCGGGTTTGATCAGAGCGCGGCGTCCGCAAACACCATGGATGCTATTCGTGCAGGTGAGGCTGTGGGAGGTGGTTCGGGTCTTTTGCCCATGATCCAGGCGCAACGTGACCGATTCAAGAAGAAGAACTCCGAGCTTGAAGAAGAGCTGTCCAAGACATATTCAACTGTGAAATCTCTTCGGCAGGAGATTGCATCACTTCAAAAGGACAACCTCGGCCTTTACGAAAAGACTCGGTATGTCTCGACATACAGCCGCGGTCAGGGTGCAGCTACCTCTGCGTCATCATATGCAAATGCACCCAGCTCGACGTCCGTCTATACCTCCTCCGACACACCGTCGGGACTATCACTAGATAGGTATCAATCTGCCTATGAGGCACGGATCTCCCCCTTCGCTGCATTCCGCGGCCGCGAGTCAACGCGCGCATACAAGCGTATGAATCTTCCCGAAAGAATCGTATTCTCACTCACCCGCATAATTTTGGCCAACCGAACTAGTCGAAATTTGTTTGCGGGTTACTGCTTTGCTCTTCACTTTCTGCTTTTCGTGGTGCTCTACAAAATGAGCACCACCGAGATTGAAAAACATAGTGCCATGAGCGCCCTTGGTGGCGCCGCAGCAGCAGCATACAGCAACAGTGGGGGTGGATCCGGCTCTGGAAGCAGTGGTCAGCTGCATGGTGACGATTGGCAGCAAGAGGGTTTCACCTAAGCAGGCAAGATATCCTTCAAGGGGGTCTGGTGACTGCTTTGGTTGTAATTGATGTTGAGGATCCTACCTTCCTTGGGGTCCGAGTGACACACCCATATTTGATCTTGACTAGCGAGCGCTCCGGAGTTATCAATTTTGAATTTGTTTTTTTTTCTCCTGTGTTTCCACAATGGCTGATCATCAACCTTCGGCGTTTCTTTTGGGAATGAGCGAGCCCCCTCGGCAGTGATAGGCCCACTTACTAGCTCTGCATGTTCTATTTCGGGGGTTCTTTTGTGGGCTAGTGTGAACATTCAATTACGGTTTCAAGAATAACTGTGATCCTTGCACGCGTGAGATATCTGAAGACATGCCAGTGGGTTCTGTACTCGGTAAGCTTCTGCAATGAGGTAACCCCCACCGGGCATATACCTATTTGTAGTAGTCCCGAACGCTAGATGCTATCAAACCCCAGGGTTTCGAAGCTATTCATGAGAGCCCTGAAGATAATTGAAATTGCACTAGAGGTGCACAGAATTAGACATGGTACTAGCACCTAACATCATAACCATTGGAAAGAGGGAGAAGTATAGACAGCTCCGGAGGATGCTGCCGTTTCTGTACAACACCATCTAGATGATTGGACCACCCTGGCGGGTAGTGATATGAAGAACCTGAAATCTTGGAATACTCAATGTCTACGGGTAGATCCACACAATGATCCATTCTGGCGGTAAAAAGGAACTGAAAATGGTTTCTTGCTTTCTTGATGCCAATGTATAACTCCGCGGATTCATATCTTGGTCGGTTAAAGAAGCCGTGATGGGTTGAGTGGCCAAGAGTGGGTCATATTAAAATCGACAAAGATAGGTATCATGGTAGCCTTAATAAGAGAAGTTAGACAGTGTAAGATGGCGTTCAACTACTACGCGCCCACACTGTAACGTGAGCCAGATGGGGGAAGAGGGGGCCAAGCCACAAAGTGCGGAGGGGGCTGCCACTTCACAACCAGCCCCCCCCCCACAATGATTACCCACCTCTCTGATAACTTGAACAGTTGCGCAAGATGGCTGCCCAAACAAAGAACACGCTAAGATCGAAATCTGCAACGAATACTGCTCCAGCCCCCTCCAATTATATGTCTATTGAAGGCCAAGCCGGGTCTCTCCAACCGCCTTCGGTCGGACAAGGAGATACCCTGAGATGGACTCTGCACGCTAACCTGCTGGGGCAATCACAATGCACATCTAACCGCCCATCACACATGGTGAGCTACTCCAAGAAGGCACATTTATTAATAGCCCATCCGGAGAATTCCCAGATGGACTTCACATTGGTCTCCCGGCTCACCGGGTGAGCTCCTTCACCTTGCCGCCCAGTCACAAGCCCGCTGTTTGACTTAGCGCGTTGCTCTCTCAATTTAGCCAAAGTTGTTTGGGCGATACAACGAATTGCAAGTCGTAGAGGATGGGGGCGTCAGCCCTGGGCGCGATCTGCCACCAATGAGGGTGCCCGATGAAGCACCTATCCCTGTTAGTACCTGCAGTTGTGCATCGATCGCTTTTTATTTTTGTCGTAGCTTGTTTCGAGTTAGACTAGGGTGTTGCTATTTTGACGATGTGTTGCAAATACGAACAAATATTACAATCAACGCCAGCTCTATATGTATCCAGCCTCCCTGGCCGGGTTGATCATCCTCATGCCAAATCCTTTCCCGTCACTCCTTTCCTCTAATCCCAACCTCCCTCCCTCTTGCTTGGTCTTGCCAACAGCCAGGTGCTGCTGAAAGGCTTGTTTGTATTTGTGTTTCTTTATTACTATTCTTATTCAAGTTCTTCCTTTCCTTGCTCTTGAAGATTCCAAAAACAAATCTCCGGGTCGATCAACCACCACTCCCCACTCTACAACCCCGCCATCGAAGATCACAACCACCATGCGCTTTCTACCAACCTTCCTCTCCCTGGTGGCTGTCTCAACCGCCGCCCCAACAAACTTCTTTGACGATGCATACGATTTTTCCGAAGGGCTGCTGGACTACTACTCCAAGGTTAGTCAGCACATCAACCGCCTGAGACACAGCAAGACCCCGGTGGGTTGCGATGCGTTCAAGATTACATTGCCATCCTATGCTTCAGGCCTCAAGGCGCCTGATGGGTTGAGCCCAATGTATGTCGCTATTGGACGGGGCACACAGGTATGTAGAGCTTGATATTATACTACATCAAAGAGTTGACCCAACTGACTCTCGAATAGAACTACACCTGT